TAGTGTGATAATCTTTAGTAAATAGTATTTCTAATGAGAAAATGTGCTCTGGGTTGAAGATGAAAATTTTTAAAGGGGGTGGGGGTGAGTTCATATTTAGATGCGACCCCATAAAACCAAGCACTAAAATCCCTGTGAAATGTCACACAGTGTTGTATTTGTTCACTCTTCCTCATACACTTGAGCCCTTATAACAGAACAGACGCGAACCTCACACTTGGTCTGAGTGAGACTTTGGAATTCCAGGACCTGGGAAGTGGAGGCAGCAGGGTCAAGGAGTTCAAGGTCAGTCTGGTCTATCCAAGGTGCAGCGAGGGAAGGCTGGGATGGACCTCTGAATCCCACACGGCAGACGATTCATATGGTTTTCTACCTTCGTAACATATGAGCCCAGGTCCTCTGCTGGATTTACCACTTATTTGTTTGCCTGCCAGAGAATATGCTAGATCCCTTCTTCTCTATGGTAAGTCTCCCTTTCCTTCAGCACACGAAAGGGGTTCAATGAAGATCTTCACAGAGTTCTAAGCCTTCAGCCCATCCTTTCATTAGGAATCCAAATAAAAGGGTCAATTAAGTCAACTTTTATTTAGGATCAGTATCATAACACATGGCCATGCTACAGTTGAGTACACACACACAAAGAACACTGAATACAATGAAACCTTTCAGCAATCACTAAGACCTGAAAGCTGAAAAGTAGGTACAAGATGGGAAAAGGGAGACGCTTTTTACAATCTGTACTCCCAGTTTTTTTGTCATCAAACAATACAAACATTTGCCTTCCGACACCAGTAATATCTACGGAATATCAAAGAGGCTTAGAGGGGAGCTGATAGATAATTAACAAGCACTGCTTAAAAATAGTCCTCTTAAAAAAATCGTTCTCTTTATTACTTATTAAACGGTTTATTATTTGACTAATGATATAATGTTCACTTGGGGTATCCCAAATAAGTAATCAAAGTAATCACCTTATCTATTTAATATTAGAAATAATTAGGACTAATCAATTTAAATACTAAAATATTTTAACAATAACAACTGGTCAAAGTTTTTCAAGATGAGTTTTTACAACATAAAAGACAGGACCTAGCTCTCTTTTCTTTTTTCTTGGTGCGCTCTCTCTTTTTTTACAGAGAGGGTTTCTCTGTGTAGTTTTGGTGCCTGTCCTGGATTTCGCTCTGTAGCCTAGGCTGGCCTCAAACTCACAGAGATCCACCTGCCTCTGCTTCCCAAGTGATGGGATTAAAGGCGTGTGCCACTGATTCCTGGCTTGAGCTAGCTCTTTAAGAGACACCATAAATACTGTAAGTAGTTTCTAATAGTTCTCAGTTTCAGGAAGTAAGAAGTAACAGATGGGATGACAATTTTTAAATAAGTAGGTAATTCCTCCATTATTTGAATTTTCAACACTAGTAATCTATAAAAATTCTGGTTGAGTACAAAAGAAGGCATTGAGAATGGGCCATTTTAAAGAACAAAGCAAGGCATCAAGGGAGAATTCTGGAGTTCTCAGTACCAGGGCTTTGCAGAATATCCATTTTTTGTCAACTGTCCAATAAAAAAACAACACCAAGGAAAGTATTAGGTTCACAGGGTAAAGTGTCAGAGTTCTCCTCATTAGTCTCATTCTAGCAATGATGCGCCTTGCCTCCCTAATGAATTCAAGATTCTTCTGGCCCATCAAATACACCAGCATAGTTCTTTATTTATTTATGTTTTAAAATGTTTTCTACCAGATTTTGGTTTGAATATTATTTTTCTTTCTTTATTTTATTATTTTATTTATTTATTTATTTATTTATTTATTTATTTATTTATTTATTTATTTATTTATTTATTTATTTGAGACAGGGTTTCTTTGTGTAATAGTCTTTGCTGTACTGAACCTTGCTTTGTACTGAACCTTGCTTTGTAGACCAGGATGGCCTTGAACTCACTGAGCTCTGCCTCCCGCTGGGATTAAAGGTGTGTGCCATCACCACCTGGCTTGATTATTTTTTTACTGCCTAAATCAACACTACAGCTAGGCTTTAAGGGTACAACTATGATTATCACCTGAAAGCTGTAGTTTGTAAAAAGTATAATTAAATTGCTGGTTTTCAGTTTATACTTGGGAGGGGTATTATTTTTCCTTTCTTCATGCAAAGGCTCCTAAAAATTTTTAAAACAAATTATCACTTATATTTCAACAGGCTTACCCTCACCTGGTATGAAGCAGGTATGCAGATGTGTTTAACCTTTTAAACACACTGAAGAAATTGTGTTTATTGGCTTGGACTACACATATACACGAATCTCATAGCAGCCATCTGTCTTTTAATGTGAAAGAAGCCATGTGCAAGCCTGCATTTTGAGGTTGGAGGGATGGTCCAGAGTCATTTCTGGGTGACAGCATCCCAGCAGGGACTAACAAATACAGTGAATGTGATCCTGTCCTTGGGGAGGTGTTGTTGGTATCTGGCAGCAAAACACTCACTTTCTGGGTTATGACATTAAATGTTCTCAGGAGAAGCCCTGGAGGATTTCTCTACAAAACAGAGGAGGAACCAGCAATAATGATAACTCCAATTATCAATGAAGCAGGGCCAGGTATGGTCTTCTTAACTGGACCAGATTGATATAAGCTGTAAATCTGGCATATAGCTAACATGCTGGCTAAGGCTAGCTACTATTAGAGGGAATTTCTTGTCAACTGCCAGAGAAAATGATATCATGATTTGACCTCCAGATTCTTTTGTCTCTAACTCCACACTATAATATAAGCTGCAGGGAACATGGACCAGCTCATCTTCACAAAGGTCTTCACAGACAATGTTGTTGATGCCCATGATGCTGAGCAGTTCTGGAGACCAAGACAGTAAAGAACCCTCCATTTCTTAGTAAAGACAGAAGATGAGCCAACTCATTTGGTTACTTTAATGGCCCTACTTGTCTATTGTCTCTAGGGGTCCAGAACAGAGGTTGGAAAACAATGGCCCAAAGGTCAAATCCAGTTCATAATTTTGTTTTTATAAATAAAACTCTATGGAATAAAACTATGCCCATTTGTGTTTATATACTGTTTATGGTTATTTATCTTCTATAGCAACATAACTGAGTAGCTGTGGCAAAGAAAATATGATCTGCAAAGGTGACAATATTTTCTCTGGTCTTTTACAGAAGTCTGCCAACCCCCTGGTCTATAGTATGTTGGTATATGCAGGACAGATCAATGTCCTAGCTCCTCCTACACATTAGACAGGAGAGATCTGACTGTTCCTTTTCAACTCCAGAGAAGAAAGCCCTCTAATAAGTGGAACAAGCTATGATAGTATGGCTCAGCAGCTCAGGCCACCCTGTGATTCTGGGGCAACAGATACTTCCTTTATATGGCTTCAGGAATGTCTCGATAAGATCATAGTGCACATCTGGGCTTATGGAGCAAATAAAGCAACTTTCTTTAAGTAGGTATCGGTCTTTTAAGCACATATAGCCTGGTTCACCAGTTTGTTCTAACAGAAGCAAATGTCTGACACAGGCTACCAACACATCATTAACCCACCCCCACTAGTTGTAATGGATCTAACCACAAAACTAAAATTATGTTGTATAGAAACACAAGACTGAATTTATGGAGGTTTTAAATGAGGACTGTAGGTCTTAAGTGCTTACAAGGCCAACACTTTAGTGACTGAGCTAGCTGTTCATTTTAGGTGTGGGGGGTACCAAAGGTCACTTTTTAAAAAAAAAAAAAACATTTTGGGGGCATTGTTAATGGTTTACTAAAATGAACACAAACAAACAGAAAGAATGCAAGACTGCTGACAATGATTGGCAGCCCCAAACAACTGCATACATAGTGCCTTGTGTACAAGACTGCATCTATGCCTTCCCACTCCAGCCAGCCTAATGCATGCCCAGTGAGTGTGTACTCACATGTGTACTCAATGAGTAGCACTCAATGACCACAGTGCTACTGAGAGGCTGCCAAAGCAGTAGTCACAGAAGTTACAGTTGCCCAAGGCCAATGTAGCTGGCCACTGCTGACACCTCAGCACCAGTGACAATTCTAAATCCTGATTTGTTACCACAATCTGAGGGAACCAGCATGTGGAAGGAGATAATGTTTGCTTTCCCAGGAATTGACACTTAATACAGATTTGAACTTGACATCCCTATGCTTTTATAAATAACTTGTAGATCAACCCTACATTATTACATGGATGTCTTGAAGGATCTACTTTACATAGAAAAAGGTATCAGACAAGTATCTTAATGCCAAGTAATAACCATCACCCGAAAAGGGGAGGGACTTACAAAAGAAAGGTATCATGTTGTGCTTGGATTCAGCATGGGTTATGGATACCTTACTGCAGATTCTGGGAGTCATCATTTAGGACTTTGGTATTTGCTCTGCTCCAGCAATGCATGCAATATCAGAAAAATATTGTATTTCTCCATACCCAAACACACAGGACTAAGACACAAGGAGAAATATGATTGGGCCATCTCAAGGATGTAACAAAACATCTACATATTTTTAAAACTTGTGTCCCTAGACCTATGACTCATAATCTGCTTCTCTAATTGGTATTAAATGTACTGGAAAATAGACTAAAAGTGTTGTTTCTAGATAGTTGGATAAAGGTATCTATCTTTTTTCTTTGTGAATACATTTTTCCAAATTGTCTAGAATGACAATGCATTATAATTACTACAGAAAGAAAACACATCTAGCCTAAGAAGCTGATTTTCACTGAAGATAATCATCGAATGAAAGCAAGGACATTAGAATCAGTGCATGGACTTGCTAACAAAGACTGAACTTTGTTTTTTCTGTAGTGGTTCTTTTTAAAGCACCCCAGAGCAGTTATAGAGGACATTTAAAATGTAATTCTCAATTTCCTTACCCTATAAAACAACAGGAACTAGGCAACCGATTACTACTTACCATGAGATATGTTAGTCTCTATATGTGCTCAGTTCCTTCAAAATAAAAATCAGAACAAATTAGTTACCTTTGGGTTAAAATATCTACAAGACTGTGGTTGGGAGCCTCCAAACAGAGCTATGCGGTAATCATGCTTCTTTCTTCTAGGCCGTGTGCCACCTGCGAGTTCTTCTCGATCCTCAGGAGACAGCAGATGGTACCTCATTCCACCTGCACAAAATACACGGTAACTCTTCATGTACTACTAAGTCAATGCTTTGAAAAGTAAGGTAGGTGCTAGAGAGATGGCTCAGTGGTTAGGGGCATTGACTGTTCTTCCAGAGGTCCTGAGTTCAATTTCCAGCAACCACATGGTGGCTCACAATGATCCATAGTAAGTTCTGGTGCCCTCTTCTGGTGTGCAGGCAAACACGCAGAGAGAACATTGTATAAATAATAAATCTTAAAAAAAAAAAGTAGTCCCCCCCTTTTTTTTTTAATTCCCCTGTAACTTAAAATTACTTTTCGATCCCTCTAGTGTTCTAGGAAAAAAGAAGACAGAGGCAGGATAAATGTCTAAGAATCCTCATCTTAATTAATTTACAATTCTCAGCAATCAATATTACTAAGACTATGTTACTCACTTACTACGTGCCAATGAACTAGGGTTACTCAAGAGTGGTTGTCAAAATAATAATCACTAAACTCCAGATCTCTTAAACCCAGTAATCTCAGTCTTCTTTTTCCTCATGAAATGTTTCACTATGTAACACAGGAAGCTGTCCTCTAAGTGGTAAGCCTCTTGCCTCAGTTCCTTAATGCAGATAACAAATGTGTGCCACTACCTGATATCAGTGCTCTGTTGTAACGGCATGTTAGAATCACACAGAAATCTCTATTTCTACCTGATTCCTACCACAGACCAATTACAATCTCTGCTGTGGGCACCAGGGAGTGGGTGCTAAAGGCCCCTCTTAATTGTCATGCAAATGTGGTTCACACAGTAGCAGCTTCCTTAGAAATGCTGAACCCCACTACCTAAAAGCTACCACACCA